TTAAAGAAAAAGGACTGATTAATAGCTCAAGTTCTTGAGCATATTTAACAGTTTTACCACTTGAATGATATTTTGATGAGTTATAACCCTTGGATACAATGTTTTTTTGTATTTCCTGCTACACAGAAGCTTGTCATAGCAACTTGTCAGAAACTACTGCATGATGCAATTTCATAATGTTTAGTTGTGCATATTGTCAGCATTTTCCAGTTCAATATTTCATTGTCAGACTTATGGACCTTTAATGATTTTTATTTTTTAAGTTTTGTCTAGGCTACTTATCTTATACTAATACAGGATTGATCAGTACCTCTAGTACTTGTGCATAATTAGTTTTCGGGTGAAAGGATTTTTGCAGAGTTTATAGCCCATGAGGAAAATGCGTTTTGGGCTCACACTTGTGATCACTGATCGCTCTTGTATATACTCAAATAATAACTTACATAAACTGATATTTCTAAACATAATATATTGCCGACCGGTTTCTATGTTATCAGGTATTGACTACATGATGGTTTAACTTTTATTGAAATTAGACCAAATATGAAAAATTGTTTTTGACAGAAAAAACAGTGAACTTTCCTAGACAGCATTGGCAAGAATGACTTTAATTCAAAGCTTTTTCAAAGAAATGATGAATACAAAAACATAAAAAATATCGTTACGGAAAAGTAATCTTAGGATCGAGCTGGGTGTCTGCAAAAAAACCTAATTTTTACTCATTGCTCAGTAATACTCGTAGTTGGTTCAAGGAACGGATTTGAGCTAAAAAGTATCAAAATCTTAACTGAATAAAAGCAATTACGCTCATGAATTTCTATTATTGTTTATATGTGGAAGTTTCAAGTTACCCTATTTTGGAGATTTGCAGGTATGTTTTTGATTTTTTTATGTTTTTAACAAACACGTGGTATAACTATACCAAAAAACAAAACGAATTATTATATTTGGTCTACTTCGCCGTCATGTTTCATGTAAATACCTACTGATTTAAGTAAATTTAACATCCCAAACATCCCATAAATTCTTTTATTTTATTAAGTAAATACACATTTTTGTCTAAGTAATATATATTTATACAGAATTCAGACTTTAAAGTTGACTTTATAAGGTTTGAAATTATATAAAGAAACGCATCATTTATCTGACCTAGCTGAAAAACGAAACTAGATTTTTCGGAAAATCTAAATTTAACAAACGGGAAGTATATATCTATTACTTGCTTATTTCATAAAGAAACCAATGAATTGACAAATTAAATGTAGAATGTACACAGAATTGTCAGCAATGTCGAGTTGGTTGGCTGACGTACCATCAATGATAAACCACATAGTCATACCATTTAACTCAAGTGCAATCACGACAGGTTACGTTGCATATCCCTCAGCATTCAGCATAACCCGTTTACTTTTGCAAGAATTGTATTTGTATTCTAACGATATTCATAAGTCCCTGATAATTCGGCCGGAAAGAACAGCTATTTTTAAATAAATATTTAATATTTTCATATTAGCTTGAATTGACACTTTCTATAATGCTAAAATACCCAAAATGTTTTAATAAAAACAGGTTATTCAGTAGTATGTTCTGACGTCTAGGTTATCAGAAAGTCATCGTTGTATAGTTATTATTTAAAAGATAAATTGGTTATAAAATCTATGCTTCGTACACAAACGGTAGTTTTAAATGGGTATGTGAAAGAATATTAACAATGTTAATTTGACAATTTGACAATTTTATTCTGTGTATCATCAAAACGTTTAATAGAGATATCTCAAACGTATGGATGATACAAACTACCTGTGCGTTTTATAGATTATTGTCTCTGCATGACTACTGAACGGAATAGATCAATTGAATGATATAGTTATGATCTGGTATTCAAATTATTAAAGCAGTTGACTATAGAAAACCTATTATACTTGTTATAATGAACAGTGTAGACCATATTTTTACGAAATTGTAAACCAAAACGATGGATTGTATATAAAGCTAAACAATTATATAGCTTGTATAAACATTATCACCATTTATTTGTAAACCAAAATCTCCAAAAATGTCTGCAGATATGAATATCAACGACGAATTTCACAAAGATGGTAAATTGGCAGATGTGACAATCGTTGTTGAGGACCATAAAAATACCAGTCTGTAAGGCAGTGCTCAGTATCGCTTCACCTGTGTTTGTGCCATGTTCGAAGGTGACTTCCAGGAAAAAACAGAGAAGGAAATACAATTACCCGGAAAGAGTTATGAAAATTTTTTTTGAGTTTCTGAGATGCATTTATCCTGATAAGATGAAGATGATAACCGGTATGGCATGTTATTTCACTTATTTTTTTTAAATAATACAGTTTTATAACAAATGATGTTTTTATTTAACACAATTATCATGAGCGTAAGATATACACTTTACATCATTATAAATGTATAGTAACAACTTATCAATATATTCGGTCAACTTTGTAAAATTTTGTTTGTTTTTGGGTTTTACGTCACAGTATAGGTCATATCGCGACGTTCCAGCTTTACTGGTGGAGGAAGACCTCAGGTGCCCTTTCAGGCACGAACGGGCACCTGAGTAGAACCACCGACGTTCCGTAAGCTAGCTGGATAGCTTCCTCACATGAAAGAATCCAAAGTTCCTGTCGGGATTCAACTTTGTATAATACGATGTGAAACTATTATTATACAAAACGTATTTGTGAATATATTCTGCGGTAGCATCATTATAATAATAAATTTTTAAACGTTCACCAATATTTTCAAGTTAAATCTTTCATTTATACATAAGGAACTTTTGTCAATTATTCTTATTGGAAAACATTCTTTTATTTATTTATAATTTAAAAAATTAATGGTAAAATATTGTTCAATATGATCAATCAATCTTATATTATGGCATTTTTAAATTATATTATGCGGAAACATCATGATATAGAGTCAAAATAACAATATACTATGTAAATCTTTCATTATACGATATCAGTCTATGGATATACCATCTACATTTATAAATATAGTATGTGGAACGTTCTTTACATAGTATAAGTGTTAAAGTGACCAATTCAAATTTTGCCTTTATTTCTTTACTGTTAATTTAACGGAAGACAAGGTGAAATCAGACGGCCTTTGGCTGTAAAAATGAAAGTACAAAAATGATATAATTCTGTAAAAATCTAACTTTATTATCGGCTTGCCCAGTGACCTCGCATAATGTACCAAAAAGACACGCATAAAGTTAAAACTGATTACCTTCGATATGACTTTACCTAAAAACTTCAAACAAAATTTTCAGTGTACAGTAAGTTGGCCAATAACGGATTTAAGCGTTTAAGAACCAATGACTTTAAAGTCATAAAATATAAAAGCATGTTGATTAGAAGAATTTTAATTCCTTTTTACAGTATTTTCCCGTAAATCTATATTTTGAATGCAAACTTCTAGTCAACATGTCAATATATTCATGTATGCACATTGTATAATGAAAGGTTGACATCATATAAGGACACATTGATATCATATATTGCTAAATAGACTCTATATAAGGATAATTCCTCATAATATATTGATTTGTTAACTCTTTATAAGAAAGATTCAACATAATATATTCGTAAATGCACATCGTACACTGATAAATTGACAACAATTAACGACAGATTAACATCATTTATCGTTAATTTGACCTCTATATATGATGTTCGACATAATATATTTTAAAAATACACATCGTATAATGAAAGATTAACATCATATAAGGACACATAACATCATACATTGTTAAGTTGGCTCTATACGAAGACGAGTATATAATCTAGTGTTATTTTGACTCTATATAAGGATGGTTATACATAATTATATTTCGTAAATGCACATCATATATTGAAAGACTGACAAATCACATAAGGACAAAACTGACCTTTATAAACATGGTTCCACAAAATATATTCAATTAATGCACATTCGCATATTGAAAGATTGGCATCAATATAATGACACATTGACATTATACATCGTAAGCTGACTCTATATACGGTTGTTTCCACATAGTTATTTACTGGTATTTCGGACGCTAAATAAGGATGGTTTCACATAATATACTCAAATATGCACATCTTATATTGATAGATTGACAAAATATAATTAAAAGGAGACATTGACATCATATACTGTTGACTCTTTATAAGAATGAGTCAATATAATATATTCATAACTTCACATCTTATTATGGAAGATGGCTGTCTTATATTGTTATTTTTAAATATTTAACAATTTATATAATATATAATATTTGGATTATATATAAGTTCACTTCGACTATATATGCATTAAAAACACCTTCTTATTTAACCAGAGTCCACTATATGCACCCACAGTTACAATGTATGAAACCATACCGTCAGTGTATGAAACCGACGTAGCAATATATAAGTTGATTTTCTCAATATATGATTCCAATTCTTCAATATATAGTACCAAAATAAGATGTATGGAACCAGGTATCCTTACATGAAACCGAATTATCAAGATATCAATTCATTTTAAAATATATGAAACCAATTTATAAATGTATGAAACCAAAGTAGAAATATATAAGTTGGTTATCACATTATATGATACAAAGTCTTCAATATATTTTACAAAAATAGCAATATATGGAACCAGATGCCCTTTATATCAAACCGATACATCAATATTTTAATTCATTTTACAATGTATGGAACTGAACTAGCAATATATTAGTTGATAATCACTTTATATGATACCAATTCTTCAGTATATTGTACCAAAATAGCCATATAGTGAACCAAATGTCCTTATATGAAACCGAAGTATCAATATATTGATTCATTTTTACAATTCATGAAACCAATTTATCAATGTATGAAAACAAAGTTGCAATGCATGAGTTGATTATGATATTAATATGATACATCATGTACCAGTTCTTTAATATATGGTACCAAAGTAGCCATATATGGAACTAGATGTCTTTACATGAAACCGAATTATCAATATATTAATTCAGTTTTACAATATATTAAACCATTTTATTAATGTATGGAACCAAAGTAGCAGTGCATAAGTTAATTTTATATTATATGATAGCATTTTCTTAAAGAAAAATAGCCCATTTTCAAGTCAAAAGGCTAAGGTTAATAGGTTCTGTTTAAAACAAAGCATACACTTTTTATAAAAAATCAATTATTTTCTGGTTATTTTCAAACTTTGTGAGTAGATTAACCTTGACGTGTCCTACTGGCCATGCTATTTTTTTCAAAAGGTAAAAGTCGAGAGGAAATTATTTTTTAAATATGTTTTTGTTAATGGCCAGTACGACTCAGTAGCTTCAATTATGACTTTGAAACTTTACATACATATATAATGATAAGTTTTGCCTGCCCAGCCAATTTAAAGGTCAAAGTGAATGTGGCCTTAAATTCAAATATTTCCTTATTTAGAAAATGTGCAGTATGCCATCACTGAAGCACGCAGGTATTTTGACATTTCTTGTTATCTATGGCTGCTCTCCAAGCACTGACTACAAGTATTTGTTTCGGTTTCATTTAATCACATTTTTTTCAAAACATGGCTTCTTTGGTACCATATATTGAAGAACTGGTATCATATACTTGTAATGTGATAATTAACTTTTAAATTACTATTTATGTTCCATACATTGATAAAATGGTTCCATATATGGAAAAAAATGAATAGATATATTGATAAATAGGTTTCATATTAGGACACCTGGCTCCATACATTGTTCTTTGGTACAATGTATTGAAGAACTGGTATCATATAGAGATAATCAACTTATAACTTGATACTTTGAATCAATTCATCGATAAAATGGTTTCATATATTGTAAAAATGAATTAATATATTGATAAATCGGTTTCATATTAGGACACCTGGTTCCATACATTGCTACTTTGTAACTATATATTGAAGATCTGGTATCATATAATGCGATTATCAACTTATATATTGCTACTTTGTTTCAATACATCGATAAAATGTTTTCATTTATTGTAAAAATGAAATAATATATTGATAATTCAGTTTCATTTAAGGACACCTGGTTCCATACATATATAATTTGGTACCATATATCAAAGTATTGGTAAGATATAATGTGAAATCAACTTATATATAGATACTGTGGTTTCATACGTTGACGACATATTGAAATACGAATTTATATATTAATAATTCGGTTTCATATAAGGATATCTGGTTCTATACATCTTATTTTGGTACCATATATTGAAGAATTGGGAATCATATATTGAGAAAATCAACTATTGCTACCTCGGCTTCATACACTTACGGTATGGTTTCAAATATTATTTTGGATTTATATAATGGTTTCTGGTTTAAAAAGAAGGTGTTTTCAATTCATGTATTGTCGAAGCGAACTTATATATTATCCAAAAGGTTAAATTAATTGAAAAAGAACAATAAAAGACAGCAATAGCTTTCCATATCTTATAATGACAGACTGACATCATGTACGTAAGGACATATTCACATCATATATTGTTTACTTTGTTAAATAATTATTCAATATGATATGTTAATAATTTCACATCTTATAATGACATACTGACATCATATAAGGACAGATTGACAGAATATATAGTTATTTTGACCTTTTATAAGGATGGTTCCACAAAATATATACAAATATGAAGACCGTATAATGATATAATTACATCATATGACGACACATTGACATCGTATATTGTTCAATTGAAATCATGTAAGGATGCCGCCATATAATATATTCATGAGTGCACATTGTATAAAGAAAGGTTGACTCAATATATTGCTATTTGAAGAACATAATAACATTCAGTTTTATAATGATAAGACAGTCAATGCTTTCCATAGTTTTCTTACCACATCACTTATTTACAATACAAAGCTTTCAAACTAATAATACTTGTTAGTGACATCAAGTACGTGTATAAATCGAACGAACATTTTCGTTTAGTGTTCGCAATACTTTTAAAGATTGTGATCTTAATATACTAAATCTATCAACACGCTGTTATTTTTTCTTTGAAATGTGTATATCTTCAGACAGAAACGTTTACACGCTTCTTCCTTTGGCTCATGAATATAACGTTGAGGAGATGATAAAACGTTGCCGACAACTGATAATGCAAATAGTAAAGAATAAACACACAGGAAACATTAGGGAATTATACAGGCACATTCATTTGTCTGAACTGTATAACCTGGAAGAAGTAAAAGAAAAGTGCATTTATCTAGCCTCAGAGAATACTCTCCACCGAATCAAAGCTGCCAGAACGGCATACCAAATATCAGATGCCAGTCATTACAAGATTATAGAGATAGCTCTAAGGAGACGAGAGTTGGATAAATTTGATGACGAAATCTTTAATGTTTGTAATACTAAGGAGGAGACAATAAAAAAGAATTTCGATAAATTTTTCGGAATAACTTGTGAATTAAAAGGACACATCAGTACGGAAGGATACAGTGAAAGAGATATTTACAGAGCATTGAGACTAATGGAAAGGTTCAAAATTACTGAGAATCACAAAAGCATCAAGTCAGAGCTAATTCAACGGTTACAATATGTTTATGATAATGGAAAATATATAGAAGAATTTCATCTTCTCCCAGAAAATATTAAAGAATCTGTACAAAATAAAAAAAAATAGGTGAATGTTAGGCTTACAATAATTGAATATTTCCTTATTGAGATCAAAACCAGCTCTTAAAACTTGTAAGAAATAAGAAGATCAAAACTTGAGTCAGATCGGTGGCTTTTGTAATGTAATACAAAGCATTTATCTTTCGGTAAAATGATTTGATTATTCGCTGTCAAAGATTTCAAAATTTTTTAACATCATAAAAATTTAGTTTACCCGTTTTCATTTTTTAACGATTGTACTTACAAAAGCAGAGCACTGAAAGTATTTTTGCGGCTCGATCAAAATTAAAACTTTAGTAAACAAGCATGCACCGAGCCAAAACTTCAGCTGGTAACAAATTAAACTATTCTTTTTTTCTCAGTTTTAGATTGAAACTATGAAGAAAAAATAACGGTATTAGAGTATCTTGATTAATTTCAACAAATACAACGCTTCGTTGACCAAACTGTATCTTGTTTGCATGACCTCTTTGTTCTACCATGACTGCTTGAGAACAATATCCCATGACCTTAGATACGGAGAAAACCTTTATAGAATATTGTTCCAAACTTGGCATTCAATTAAATTCAAAAGATTATGTTCGATTGATTAGTTGTGTCAGTTCTGTTCCGTGAAAGCCCATGGTAGTTTAACCACTAAACAAGGCAATAGTGTATTATGTTGTCTGAATATATTATAGACGCACCGAGACCTTTAACATGCACACAATCATCGCTCAACAACGACATTTGTAACGTTTCTATGGGAAATTAAACTGAAATAAACTGCGATTTTAACATAATTAAACATACAATAATGCAAAGGGCCACTATTGAAACGGCTCGGCAATACTTACGCATTGACATACCCGCCATATTTTACTTTTTTTCTAAGAGAATATTCACGAATGTATTTATGCTTGTTCTTATAAAGGAACCACTATCGGATATTATGTGAACTTATATATTGGAACTTTAGTTGATTCTGAAACAAAACACTGGTTTTGGTGTATTTGTAAGATAAAGATCAGTATCAAAACAATATGTTAGAAAATTTTGGTAAATATATTATTATAAAATATGAAAAACAAGATCAACAAGGAAAGGCGGCGTTCAATAAGACTTTCGGGAACAGTGCATGTAAATGCGTGACCAAGTAGAAACTAAGTGAAGTGTATACTAGATGGCTTGTTAATGGAAATATTTGTATACTATAAACAAATGACATTATCCGACCATTTCATGTTATTATAAGCAAATGAAGGGTTCGTAAATCTTGGCTACAATGATTGAAATATAACATAAATTATCTAACATGTATCGATCAGTCTTACTATTTAAACTTACTATTTAAAACATTCTAAAAAGAGGGTGGCTTGTGTAATAAAGTGTTATTACACGTAATCTTTTGTTATTTTGAAGCTCCAAGCATATTTTATGTGTTTGCATTTTTGTGTCGCCTGGTACTAAGTAGCTGCGACATATCCTTCTCGGTCGTCTGTCCGTCTGTCTAACAGTCACAAAACATTTCCGGACTTTCATGTTATTATAAGCAAATGAAGGGTTCGTAAATCTTGGCTACAATGATTGAAATATAACATAAATTATCTAACATGTATCGATCAGTCTTACTATTTAAACTTACTATTTAAAACATTCTAAAAAGTGTGTGGCTTGTGTAATAAAGTGTAATTACACGAAATGTGTTGTTATTTTAAAGCTCCAAGCACATTTTATGAGTTTGCATTTTTGTGTTGCCTGGTACTAAGTAGCTGCGAGATATACTTTCGTCGTCTGTCCGTCCATCTACAGTCACAAAACATGTCCGGACTACTCCTCAGAAACTACTGGTGCAAATTCATCCTAACTTTACAGGAATGATCAGTACCAAGTCTGATCTGAATATCATCAGTACTCACAGGTCAATAATTTTTGTAAGAGTTATGGGCCTTTAATGTTGTCCGGAGGACTCCTCTTATACCACTTTCGAAATTTCAATGACACTTTACAGGGCTTATCAATAGCTCAAGTCCTTGCGAATATTTCACAGTTTTACCGCTTGAATGATATTTTGATGAGATCTGGCCCTTGGATAAAAAGTTTTTTTGTATTTCCTGCTACACAGAAGCTTGTCAGAGCAACTTATCAGTAACTACTGATGCAAGATCATCATATTTAGTTGTTCATATTGTCAGCATTTTCCAGTTCAATATTTCATTGTCAGACTTATGGACCTGAAATGATTTTTATTTTTTAAGTTGTGTCTAGACTACTTATCTTATACTAATGATGCAAATAAAATTAAACTTTACAGGAATAATCAGTATCTCAAACACTTGTGCATAATTAGTTTTCGGGTGAAATGATTTTTGCAGAGTTTAAAGCCCATGAAGAAAAATGCGTTTTCGGCTATCAATGATAAGGCCACACTTGTGATCACTGATCGCTTTTCTATATTACTTTAATGATAACCTGCATTAACTGATATTTCTTAACATAATATATTGCCGGCCGGTCTCTATGTCATCAGATATTGACTACAAGATGGTTTAACATTTATTGAAATTAGACCAAATATGAAAATTGTTTTTGACGAAAAAAAACAGGGAATTTTTCAGAACCGCTTTGGCAAGAATGACTTTCAATTCAAAACTGTTATAAAGAAATGATGAATATATTTAAACATAAAAAATTAACGCTACGGAAAAGTAATCTTAGGATCTCGAGCTGTGTGTCTGCAAAAAAACTTAATCTTTACTCATTGCTCAGTAATACTCGTAGTTGGTTTAAGGAACGGATTTGAGCTAATAGGTTCCTACACATTCGAACTAAAATAAATTTTGTATAATCTTAATAATTGAATAAAAGCAATAATCCTCATGAATTTCTATTATTGTTTATATGTAGAAGTTTCAAGTAAATACCTTATTTAAGAGATTTGCAGGTATCTGTAGTTTGTGGACTTTTTATGTCTGGTATAACTTTATCAAAATACAAAACGAATTATTATATTTGGTCTACTGAGCCGTCATGTAGGGTGTCATGTAAATACCTACTGATTTAATTAATTATGCTTAACATTCCAAGCATCCAATATTTTTTAAAATTCTATTTAGTAAATACACCGTTTTGTCTAAGTAACATATATTTAGACATATAAATAAAGTTGACTTTCAAAGGTTTGAAATTAAATAAAGAAATATCATCATATCAAACTTAAAGTTGTATGTATCTGACCTAGCTGAAAACGAAACTAGAATTTTCAAAAAATCTAAATTTAGCTTTAACATACAGGAAGGAAGAATACGGTAAGTTTATTTATTTATTACTTGCTTATTACAAAACGATATGCATTTTAAAGTCTTAATGAATATTTATTTTTTTATGTGTTGAAAAACGGTTGCTACCATAACGATCGTTGATAAAAATTCATTTACATAACTGAATCGTGAGAAATATTCAGCAGGATTTCTTGAAAACGATTGATTTTCAATATTAACTTGTTATACTATAAAAAGCTAATTCAACATTTCAAATCTTAAATCACTGAAACGAACACTTGATTATAAAATTTTGCACAGACCCATGAAAGACTCAGGAAAAGGTCGTTTCAATCGACTACTGTCATATTCACATTAGATTGCATAATGGTTATCGCTCCTTTTTGAAAATGAATTTGTACATAACATTTATCTAGCGTTAATATATTGACTTTGTCAAGTTTTTCTCAATAGAATGATTGTATTGCAACACAAAAATTATCAACATGCATAAAAGTCATAATAAACCATTATGCAAATAAAGTACCCATTGTGCATAACATGGGCTTATTTCTTAAGGTCTTAAAAAGTTTTGTTCCAAATATTTTGTAAAATTATGTGTTTGTTTTGAAAACGAAAAACAAAAACTGATTGAAATTATTGAAAAAAATAAATGTAGAATGTACACAGAATTGTCAGCGAGGTCAAGTTTGTTGGCTGACGCACCATCAATGATAAAGCACCCAGTCGTTTAATTGTGTCAAAAAGTTTGCGAATGCTCCAGGCATACCATTGACTTGATAATTTTAAATTTAGTGCCATCACGACAGGGTTACGTTGCATATCCCTAAACATTCAGCATAACCCGTTTAGATTAAGAGATTTACTTTTGCAAGAATTGTATTTGTATTCTAACGATATTCATAAGTCCCTGATAATAAAGAACAGCTATGTTTATATAAATATTTAATATATTTAAATAAGCTTGAATTAACACTTTCTATAATGCAAAAAAAAAACAAAATGTGCTAATTAAAACAGGTTATTCAGAAGTATGTTCTAACGTCTAGGTTTTCAGAATGTCACAAGAAACGGATGTCAGCTGCAGCAATTATGAAAAAGGAGAACTGGAGGATAAACAGACGTTGATCAACAATGAATTTTGTGAAGAAAATGGAATCGCAGACCTAACACTGATTGTAGAGAATCACAAAATACCACTTTGTAAGCCGGTGCTATGTATAGCATCCCCTGTGTTCCGTACCATGCTAGAAGGTCACTTCCGGGAGAAAACAGAGACTGAGATACCATTGCCCGGGAAAAGCTGAGATGTATTTATCCTGACAAGATGAAGAGAGTAACCGGTATGGCATGTAAATAATTTGAAATATTTGCTTATCATGAATCTTTTAATTTGATTTATGTGTGTAAGCCTGTTAGTAAAATTGCGGCAAAAACCAAAATTTTGATTTAAAGATCCATTAAAAACGTGAAATACATATAATTAGAATAAACAATTTGCACTTTATTCCATTTCATAACCATAAAATAACTTTGCGAATAATACGATCTTTCATACATGTATGATACATGTATGTATTACTATAGATATAATGTGTATTATGATGTAATGACATTATTTAATATCAGGCATACGAAAAAGATAAAGGTATGAAGGGAATGACCAGGACACTCACTACGGGGCGAATAAACGTGGTGTCCAAAAAAAATTCAAAGGTAGATCTTCGGCTTTGTAAAATGCGGATATACGTTATGCCTTTTATTTTTAAATTCCATAAGGGCAATCTGGTAAATGTACATGTTACATCAAAATGTTCATCATGAAAACATGCCATTTTTTGTAGAACAGAACGTCTACATGCTTCTTCCTTTGGCACATGAATATAACGTTGGGAAGATGATGAAACGTTGCCAAAAAGTACTCAAGCAAACAGTAAAGAAAAGGCACAAAGAAAATGTAGAGGAATTATATCGGCATATTCATTTGTGTGAACTGTATAGCTTAGAAGAATTGAAGGACAAATGCATTTATCTGGCCTCAGAACATACTTTAAAACAGTTCAAGACGGCACAAACGATACATCAAATATCAGATGCGAGTCATTACAAGATTATAGAACTTGCTCTGAGAAGACTAGAGTTGGATAAAACTGATGAAAAAGTTTTTAAAGTCCAGAATGCAACTAAGAAAAGTAGGTATTTGGGTCAACATAGTTATGTTGACAGTATAAACTGTGAACTGAATGGAGTGTTCGACATGGATAAACAAAATCTAGAAGATATGTTCAGAGCGATAAGACTAATAGAACGGTTTAAAATTACCACAAATGACCCGAACGTCAAGTCAAACATATTAAAACAGTTACAAACTGTTTATGAGAATGGGGAAGGTATTGAAGAATTTTATCTGCTCCCAGAAAATGTTAAAGATGCTTTACAAAACAACACTTAAGATTTATGCCATTATTTAGGGTATACAGTGGATATTTAGGAAATGTTTTTGTAACTTTTGAAAAAGGTGAATTTACTTCTGAACTTTTACGTTTAACTTACTGTTTGTTCATTTATTAATTCATTTAGCAAGAAAAACAATAGATACTAAACAATTATGTTTTATTTCAGAATTCTTTCATTCCACGTGA